ACTTGCTCAAGTTCACCTAGCTGATAACTAGCTGGGTGGTGATTCAACCCAAGCCTTGGCTCCTCACCACTGTGGTCCACTGTCACTGTGGCCATTGGCAGATCTGATTGTCACTGAGCTGACTTCATCTCCCACCTTCCTTTGTTGGCCTCACTCAGTCTTGCAGTATTCATAAGTCTGCTCACACTTTCACATTTGTCCTTTACATCATTACAGACAGGCAACGTGTATTAGCTGAACTAAATAAAATTGCATTTTTGTAGGTGAAAAACACTTCAATATTAGCGAATGCATATGGTTCAACCTGATACAAGCATCTAAAGCACTTAGTGCCAGGCAGGTAATAACTACCCGTTAAATGTCAGCTAGTATTTTCTGTCTCATTCACTCCTCCTTTTCTATTGAGAACTGTTATTCTCATTTTCCTAGTGAGGAAGGTTAGTTCTCTGAAAAGGAACTTACCGAGGGACTTACAGGCACTTCATAGCAGCGCCAGAAAGAAGCTGGAGTTTCTGACTTGATATCGCTCTCTCTTATGCTATCATGTAAGCAAGAGGGAATGGGCCGCCCTCTCAGCCCTGCCTCCACATGGGGTTCCAGGAAGCTCAGGCCCCTCTCAGCAGCCTCCCAAGACCTCATTCTCCTGGCCTGGGGTCAGAGCCCAGGAAACCAACCTCTTGGGGGCGACTGGAAGAAAGGGCTGCCCTGGAGGGCTCAGTACAGAGCTAGCCCAGGAGTGGAGGGGGTGAGGAGATGCCCATATAAGGATATGTTTTCCCTCTCCCTGTAGAGGCCCCCCACTTCCCCATACCTCTGTCTTCCTACCCCACGCTTCTTTGGGGGCACAGCCAGGCCAGCAAAGGACTTGAGCCCTGGGGCCCAGATCTAGAAATGGAGTTCAATTTCATCACAAAATGATTAAAATAGACAGAAAATACAAGTTGCTCTTAAACTTTATTACTATTATTTTTATCCCCTGGGCAGCCGTGTGAGCACAAAGCTGGTTTTGATTAAGTACATTGTCCTTCCAGCCCACTCCTTGCCGTGGTTCTCACGGAGGTCCAGGCGCTCAGCCTCCCTGGCTGGGCCCCAGGGTGCCTGCACAGCCCGTGGCGCTGCACTTCAGGTAGGGCGGGGCTCCAGAGGGAAGAGGGACTCTGAGTCTGGAAGGTGCTGGTTTGAAAGGAAACTTGAGCCCCTTTCCCCCTGACCAGATGGAAAGATAAGGTGCGAGAGAACTTCTGAAAGCAAGGCTCCAAGTGCATTATAGGGTAATGCAACCCAGAGCCAAGGGCAGATACAGAGACCAGAAACAGGCTGCTCAGGGCTTTATGGAGGTGAAGAAATTTAAAGCAGATTCAGAAGGGGACGAGGGAATGTGGTTACCAGGAGGAATGAATGAATAAATAAGTAAATGAGTGTTTTTCTGCGCTCCAGAACACTGTTGCACGCATTCTCTCCTTTGCGCCTCATACCACAAGGAAGAGAAAGTGCATGCCATTCCCTTTGTACAGATACAGAAACAGAGACACTGGGCAGCTTAAGTTATTTGTGCAAGATCCTGAGATTACTGATGACAAAGCCAAAGCTAGAACCCTCCTCTCTTGATCCCTACTCTGATGGTGCTTGGAAGAAAAGCCGAGCACAACCCCAGGAGAGAAGAAATCTCTCACTCCCTACCCCCTCTCTTTCAGGAACTCAGGAAAACTAGGCCTCTCATTCTTTGCTTGCCAGCACCTCACTTTACCCATCAGTAAAAAACACTGATCCTCCTTTTCTCCTTCCTCTCAGGTTCTAGAACTCACCAGCAGAAAGGTAGCAGAGAGTGTTGAAGCCATGGAATGCAGAACTAGCTATATCCTCTACTATTGCTGTGTGCCATCCAGTTGATTCTGACTCATAGCGACCCCATGCGACAGAGCAGAACTGCTCCATAGGGTTTTCTAGGCTGTGATCTTTACAGGAGCAGAGCACCAGCTCTTTTCTCCCACAGAGCCACTGGTGGGTTTGAACCACTGACCTTTTGGTTATTAACCAGTGCACCACCAAGGCTCCTATACCCCTAGTACCCTCTCGTAAAAAGGGGGACACAAACAAGCAAAAACTCTAGGCACACCTTTCTTTAAATTGTCATTGGTGACTGTCAGAAGTGTTAGTCTTGAAGGAAGGAAAGAAGGGAGGTCTTAGGACAAGGGAACCTGTAGACTCACCCCCATGTCCCTGGTTTGTAGCATCCAATGTGCCCCCACGTATCACACACACACACACACACACACAGAGTTTTCAGCCCTGAGTACCCATTAGAATCATCTGTGGAGCTTCTGAAAAATATTGATGCTCAGGCCCCAACCCAGACCACTTAAGCCAGGATCTGCAGGGGTGAGGTACCTAGGTACAGGTGCTTCTAATGTACAGCTAAGGTTGAGAACCATCAATCTTGACGAATGTCCTGGGGCCTTTCTGCAGCTAAGTACACCATTACCCCTGGAGAATACCTGCTTCTCCCTCCATGTCCACACCGGGAATTGGGTGCTCTGGGGTGTGGGCAGCCCTGTGAGGAGCAGGACACAAGCTTGACAGTGTCAGCTACAGATGATGGAAGCCCTGACTCACCAGCTGAGGCTCCTTTTCCCTTAAGGAAGGCGACAGGAGAACGATAACATGCAGTGGGGAGTGGGGATTGGGGTCGTGTTATCAAGTGCTGCTCAAAAGGTCTCTTCTAGCTTTGTTCCCCCACCCCATCCCGTCACACAGTGCTAGGAAGTTCTACTTAACTCCAACAATTAATCATTCCTACAGTTACAAGTGTTTGGCTTTTGGAGGTCTTTGCTGGGAGATTGTCCCCACAGCCCTGGATCTTCTTAACAGGATGCCTGGTCTGCCTCTGAGCAGCTGCCAAGCCTGGACAGTGCCCACACAGGGCCTCCATCCCTGGGTAACCTGGCAGTGGATTAGCATTAGGATGGGAAAGAAACCTGACTGGTGTTTAGAACCAGTTGCCGTTGAGGCGATTCCAACTCATGGTGCCCCCATGCATGTCAGAATAGAACTGTGCTCCATAGGGTTTTCAATGGCTGAGTTTTCAGAAGTAAATCACCAGGCTTTCCTTCCAAGGTGCCTTTAGGTGAACTTGAACCTCCAACCTTGCAGTTAGCAGCTGAGGGTGTTTACCTTTGCACTAGTTGCATCAGGTGTAACTGGTATTTACGCCTCAGAAACGACGGTGCATAGAGAAATTTACATGGATAGATTCACTTTCTGGAGAAGGAAAGAGACCTAGATACCATATATAACCCAACCCACTGCCATCCAGTCGATTCCGACTCATAGCAACCCTATAGGTTAGAGTAGAACTGCCCCATAGAGTTTCCAAGGCTGTAAATCTTTATGGAAGCAGACTGCCACATCTTTCTCCCATAGAGTGGCTGGTGAGTTCGAACCACCAACCTTTCGTTAGCAGCCAAGCCCTTAACCAATAGAAGGAGAAATGCATCCAGCTGGGTGTTCTGAGAGTCCATGTGCCAGGGAGGGGCACGTCCCCAGCCCTGCTGTTCTGTGTTCTTCATGCCCCATGTTCCTCCCTAAAGCCCCAGGAGCCCCATCTGGGAGAGAGTGGGCAGGAGTCTGTGTGACAGCCCAACCTGCCTATCCTGGAGGCGGGGACAGTGAGATGGCCCTTCCTCCCCAGCCAAGCCACAGGAATGTGGTCGAAGCCTCAGCTGGAAAGTCCCACCCCCTCCTTCCTCCCACTTAGCTTCCTCTCTCTTCAGGAGCAGGAAAAGGATGGACAGGAAAGAGGCTCTGAGGGGGAGGCTCCCTCCAGCACTGTCCCCGAAGACTGTTGGGGTGTGGGAGAGAGGAAAGCCAGCAAAATGCTGGGGCGTAGTGATAGCGGTTCAGCCAGCTCTTCTTATCCCAGGTCCTGGGTTGTTTCCCCACCACTTCCTCAAGTCCAGTCTCCTCAGGGCTCAGAGAGGGCCTTCCACCAACCCCAGCCCAGAGTGATGTTTCCCAGCTGTTCTGATAAGGGAGGGTTTCTCTGGCATTGTCCACACTTTCCATTAACCTGGAAAATGGAGTGTGGAGTAGAAGCCTGAGGAGCTGTGCACTTACCTTCTCAGCATTTTCTTTTCTGCCCAGAATGCTGCCGATGCAGGGTTTCATTGGGTCTGCTTTGGAAGGAATCCCTAGGTGGTGCAAAGAGTTAACATGCTTGGCTGCTAAATGAAAGATTGGGGGTTCAAGTCCACTCAGAGGTGCCTCAGAAGAGAGGTCTGGTGATCTGTTTCCAAAAAATCAGCCATTGAAAACCCTATGGAGCACAGCTCTACTCTGACACACCTAGGGTCACCAGGAGTCAGAATCAACTTGACAGCAACTGGTTACTGGTAGCAGAAGTCTCCAAGAGGGGTGCAGGGCTCAGTCTTGGGGGTGGGGTGTGAGGCATGCCAGCTGCTCACTCATTGTCCTTGCGTCTGGTCTGGAGTCAGTCCATCTGTGGAATGAAGTCTGAGGAATCAAGAGGCTGCAAGCCCTGCCCCAGACTGTGAGCCCAAATGCAAGGACCATGGCCCCTTTTCCTCTGTATGGAGGTCCTCTCTGCAGAGAGCCAGCTTCTGGAAATCCAGAACATCTAGCCTGAGTCAAGACCCAGTGAAGGAAAAAGACGGGAAGAAGTGAGCAGAGGGGAGACAACTCTCTCCCAGCCCTGCCAGTTACGCCAAGTGATGTTATTTCTGGCAGCAGGCTCAGATGGCCCAGGATGCCTGTCCAGCCATCTTGCCAGGGTGACTGTGCTCTCGCAGCCTGATTTATAAGGCCCACTAGAGCTGACGCTCCTTCTTTGGTGCTCTGGGGGAGTAGGTGCCATGGCCTCAGGCTCTGTTCTGCTTAATGGTCATGGGGAGGGGGAAGGGGTGTATAGTTTTGATTGAGATACCTCCTCTGCTCATTTCCTAGGTGGCTGTGACTGATATTTGTTATTACTTGTTTTGTTCCAGATGCTCCCACCAGTGAGAATGCCAAGGCCCCGGGGACGAAATCCCGTAGACCCAAGAGCTCTCTTTCCACTGTGCTAGGAACAGAGAGTAAGTTATCTTTCAACTTTACCAGGCAATGGCAGGGGCTAGACAACCCCAGGACTGAGGGATGGATCAGAGGCCCCTGCTTCCTGCTCACTCACTCTCGCCGCAGCTCCTCCAAGTCTAGCTCCTGCCCTGCTGCCCCAAGGTGCCCAGTGAACTCCTGGAAGCCCAGCCAGTGGCCTTTTCTCAGCAGCCCCCTTCCCTCCCCTTTCTATAGCCTGGGTGGGGTTGTATATCTCTCCTCTCTCTCCTCCTACACATGTCCACCCTCAACCTCACTCAACCCTTTTCACTTCTTACCAGGCCTCTGTCAGAGCTTCTAATCTCCCCTATTGAATCCATTCATCAGGTATTATTGTTAGGTGCCATGGAGCTGATTCCAACTCATAGCCACCCATGTGACAGAGTGCCCCATAGGGTTTCCTAGCCTTTCTCCCACAGAGCTGCTGTGTGGGTTCGAACTGCCAACCTTTCAGTTAGCAGCCAAGCACTTAACCATTGAGCCACTAGGGCTCCTTATTAGACCTTCCTAAGTTGTAGCCCTGATGTTATCACTCGGTGGTTCCCAGAGCCTGCCAACTCTCATACAGAGTCCCCCTGGCCCCCATCAAACCTCTGCATGTGCACTGCCACGGACACCTGCCACACATGTGCACGCGTGTTCCCATGTGCGACCTGGCCTCAGTTTCTCTTTCTGAACTCTGGCCCCCCAACTCCTCTACTTCTGTTGTATACTCAAGCCATAGCGAGCTCCTCACTGCAATGAACACCCACTGTGTTCCTTCCCTCATGCCTCTGCCCTAGTGCCTCTCTCCTGGAGCACCTTCCCCTTGCCTTCACCTGGTGAGATCCCACTGGAAAGCCGCCTCATCCCTGAGCTCTTCTCTGTTCCCTCCTGTGGCCTCCCACAGCACTTAGCACCTCCTTCTGCCGTGGACTCTCTTCTTCCCAGAGTCATGGTTGTGTGTTTGTGTCTCATCCTCCCTCCTGCTCTTCTGCGTTCCCTGAGGTCCTCCCGTTGCCCATCGAGTCGATCCCAACTCACAGTGACCCTATAGGACAGAGTAGAACTGCCTCATAGGGTTTCTAAGGCTGTAATCTTTATGGAAGCAGACTGCCAACTCTTTCTGCCATGGAGCTGCTAGTGGATTTGAACCACTGACTTTTCTGTTAGCAGCCTAGTGCTTAACCACTGTACCACCAGACCAGGCTTATTCATGCATGCGCAGTGCCCTGCTCATCCCATTGCCGTTGAGTCAATTCCGATTCATAGCAACCCTATAGGCCCTTATTAGTGTCTCTTAGAATCACATTGCGATTGTGGTATAAATCGCCAAGGCGAAAAGAGCTTCTCATGTAACTCTGGACAGCTAGCTCCCTCTTTTTGGATCTCTGCTTTCCCCAGGGCCAACTTACCCATTAGGCACAGTACCGAAGGTTCCTAATGCTTTTAGGGGCTCAAAAAATGTTTTCTTATGAAAGTAGAAGAAAAGAAAGAACTTTTAGTAGAAGAAACTGTTTTAATTAATTCATAATAGTAATATATTCATCTCCATACCAATGCAGTCATACTACACACACGCACGCACGCACACTTGCACAAATATATGTATATACATATTTATTTTTTGGTGGAGGAAGAGACCCGCAAAGGCAAAAGTGCCTGGAGCCCACAAAGGTCATAATGTAGCCCTGGCTTCTCCCACTGATTAGTTATTGGTCTAATTTTGTTAGCAGAACTATGCTTTGAAGTCCCCCGTTTTAACAGAGGATGTGGAGTTGCTTGGAGGTCCCCGCCACACTCTTCCTGTGTTTAAAACAAACCAAAGCCAAACTTTTTACTACCCATCCTAATAGAGGAAATTTACTGAGCTGGCTATCTGATTCGAAGACGACTTCTCTTTTCCCGTTACGAGGCACTGTTTTTTACGTAGTTTTTTCTCTTTTCTTTTTAAGCAACATATTTACCTTGCTAATGATAAATTTGAGCTCTTTGAGCATATACAAGCCAGGCCATCAGGGGAATACTCAGCCTTCAGAGTGTCCAGGCAGCCAAATCGGAATCATAATTTCTCATGGACATTCAACCTAAGTGGAGAACCTCAGATTTCTAACAGTGGGCATTTAAATAAGTTGTTGGGTATGCATAAACAATTCTAAGAAAAACCTAGTAAGAATGGGCTAATAATCTTCTTTTCCAAAAGGATTACTTGAGTCCGTGCTGCATTAGTTAGGGGAACTATGAGCAGAAGAGGCACTGGGATCTTAGAAGCCCACCATGTGTTTGTGAATTGGGGGTATGCAGGGCGGGTTAACCAGTAAGCAAGGTATGCATAGGCTTACAGTAATCAAGGTATATGAGGTTTAATTGTGTTTACTTATTAATCTGTAGTACACAATTTTACATGGGTTTCACCACACCTTTGAAACAGGTGAAATTGTGCTCTACAGATTAGTAAGAAAGCCCACGAGTACCTTGTTTGTTGGGTAATCCGTCCCTGAGGGTATGGCAAGGTTGTTCATTTTTCCTGGGGGCAGAAGCAGGAGCACTTGGTGTTTGGGCTGGGAGATGAGCAGCCTCCTGCCCCAAGCCCTGGCACATCCATTCCAGTGGGATCCCGAGGGAAGTGAGGTGGGTCAGAGGAGAGCTGTGAAGAAGAAAAACAAGCTGGAGACAAGGAGCAGGGACAGGAGCTGGGCTCTTGGCCCTGGAGGAGCAAAAACTGTGGAAAACCCCAATCAAGTTGTCATCATCCAATTCTGCAGCACTTGCTCTGGACCCTGGCTGCGTATTAGATTCACCTGGGGAGCGTGTAAAACGCTGATGCCCAGGCTGCACCCCAGGCTAGTGAGATCAGAATGTCTGGGGACGAGATCCAGGCTTCAGGGCATTCCAGCTTGCGGTCAAGGTGGAGACTAGCTATTCTAGAGGGAAGCCAGGTGCCTGCTGCTCTGTGGGTCTTGAGAAGCAGAAGGGGACTTTTCTCTACAGTGTCTATTAAGTGTGGAACTGCCTCTCATGCCAGTGTCCTCAGAGTATCTCAGTCGCCCATCTCTGCTCTCTAGGGAGGGAGCAAGGCTGGAAGTCATCACTCTCTTGCCCCTAGAAAGGGAGTGGATCCTGGGGCTCAGTCACGGCTACTGCTTAGGGGAGGGACAGGGCTGGAGAAAGTGCTTCATCTCCACAGAAAACAAACCCACAAAGCAATTCATGACTCGATTAACTCCCGGTGGGCACTGCTTGTGTGCTGAAGGGTTAGTGGTTCAAACCCACCCAAAGGTACCTTGGAAGAAAGGCCTGGCAATCTGCTTCCAGAAGGTCACAGCCTTGTAAACCCTATGGAGCAAGTTTTTACTCTGCACCCATGAGATTACCATGAGTCAGAACTGACTCAATGGCAACTGGTTTGGTTTGCTTTTCATCCGTGTAGAGAGCTTCCTTGCTTGTACAACTGTCTTGTTGTAGTTGTCAGGTGACGTGGAGTCTGTTTTGACTCATAGTGACCCCCTGTGACACAGTAAAACTACCCCATAGGGTTTTCTAGGCTGTAATCTTTACGGGAGCAGTTTGCCAGGTTTTTCTCCTGCGGAGCGGCTGGGTGAGTTCTAACCGCCAACCTTTTGGTTAGCAGCCAAGCACTTAACTGTTGCGCCACAGTTGTCTTACCAAAAAAAAACCCAAACCCATTGCCATTCAGTCAATTCCAACTCATAGTGACCCTATAGGACAGAGTAGAACAGCCCCATAGGGTTTCCAAGGCTGTAATCTTTACAGAAGCGGACTGCCACATCTTTCTCCTATGGAGCGGCTGGTGGGTTCGAACTGCCAACCTTTCAGCTAGCAGCCGAAAGGACAAATGGAAGTATGTCCGGTGCATCTACCCAGCCTCCCACCACCCCAGCCTGTGACCCTCTGGGGCCCTGAAAGCACTAGCACCACAGAGCCACCTGGGTGCCTGAAGGGTGCTACAAGGCTTCCTTCTCAGGAGGCTTTCCCAGAGAGATGAAATGAATGAGGTTCTTTTTAAGTTTGCACCCAGTTCTTTTCTCATTCTTTGGTTATGAATTACACAAATTATACATGAATGCATTTTTGTTTAAACATTTTAAACAATGGAAATATACCAAATAGGAAATAGAATCCCTCTTTCATCTACACCCAGTTTCACTCACCTCGCCAAATATACTCACAACCACTTTTTTCTGTGCATTTACATATACAGGTAGTCCCCGACTTACGACGGGGTTCTGTTCCACTGACTCCGTCGTAAGTCGGTTCTGAGGTAAGTCGAGTACCTCATTTTTTTTTTTTCATTATTATTGCCTTTTATTATCAGTATCTTTATACATCTGATCTTTGTCTTTGGGGGTTGGAAATATTGCATATAAACTTACAGATATATTTTAAAATGGTATGTAGTACATATTAGTAACGATAAGGTGTACAAAAAAAACAACACACAGGCAGCCGCAAGTGCGGTTTGTCGTAACTCAAATGTGTCGTAAGTCGGGGGCTACCTGTATAAATATCCATACAAGTACATCGGTGGGGTTTTTTCCACAGAAATGGAATCGTGCAGTCTATGGACCTCTGCAGCTTGCTTTTTTCTTGTAGTACTGCCTTCCCCAGTCCCAGACATCTCTGATTCCATGAGAAATCCCAAAGACTCTTGTCCCTGAGTGGCCTGGCTGTGTATGTGTGTTCATTTTTGTCAAGAGCTGAGAAGTACCTAATCTAACCAGAAAATCCATCTTTCTTGCCGGTGACCAAGGGAAGGCTGGGTGATTTTTCTTGTCAAACAGCTCGTGGTCAGATCCCTCCTCTCTCCAGCTCTGACACTGATGCTCCAGCCTGTCAGAGAGCGAGTACAGCTCTCAGGGCCGTACCCTGACCTCAGGGCCCCTGTGAGCACGGCCGGCCGCTGCTGAGCCTGTGGGAAAACCCAAGCCGGTCTGCCCCAACCTGCGGTGACAGATGAGAGACAACTGCCAAAAGTACAAGT